TTTAATTACTATGAAAGTAAAACAAAACCGTATATCAGTGGCTTGTAATCGCCATTTTGTTGCAGATCCGTGCCGCCGATCTTCTTCCTGCCGCAGTGGTACTTCGTGTTGCCTTGGTTCCTCATGTTGTTGTAGTAAGTATTTCTTTTGGGCGAATTTAAAAAAAAAGTTTAAGGCCTCGAAGCTGATAATTAAAGGCGAAGTAATTGTTAACTTGGTTTACCCATTATTCACAGTATTTTGACATTGATATATGTGAATGCACACAGGGAGATGCGGACAACCATGCAGAGCTGGAAGAAGGACATGTTCGTGTGAGTCTTAAGAAATAAGTCCCCTTATACTACTTAAAAATAATAAAGCTTAATACATTTCTCTTCTTTCAGCACCTAGGTGCTCGGGGTCAGGTAGGTTCCTTAATGAGTCGACAATGAAATTCAAAGAAGGTACTGCCAAGACCGTACCTGAAGGCCGCCTCATATTTGCTAACTTAAAAATAAGTTAGAATTTCACAGCCATTCCCGTAATTTTGATTTAGGCTACTCACCTACGCGCGAAGTTGTGGTATGCGCTGAGCAACCCGTAACAAGGACAAGTATGTGTCAATAACCGGTTGTTGAGACTGTCAATTTGCACTAGTCTTGATCTCGCCAATATTTGTAACAGACAAAAATGAGGGAATAATATCAGAATGTTAAACGAATTCTGAATTTTAGTTGAAGAACCAATTGAGGAATTCAAGCCAGCATGTGAAGGTGAGCATGCAATGAAATTATAATATGAAGCGTTTTGCTTTCGACATAAAATGACCAAAGAAACATTTATTATGTGAGTAAATGAGAAATTTTTGCTTCAGTGGCTGACAACTGAGAATGGAAGTCCAAATAAAAGTAGACTGGGACAAGGACTCCTCTTCATACTTCTGAACAATGAAAGACTACCGCACATTTTCGCACCCATCGTAGCTCAAGCACAAAGCACAGTATGGCTAACTGGATTCAATAAATATTCACTGATTCAACTTGTGCTTTGATGTTGAGGGGTAGAGTTTGAGTAATTTGGGGTCAAAATGAAATATCCCAGTGATTTGTTGTTGCTATCACCATGAAAGGTAGAAATTTCATACTCATATTTAGAATCTGCGCAGATATAAGAGGACTCCCATAACCTAACTCATCCCAGAGTGCAGAAGCAGATTTTCAGTGCAGCTTAAAATTGTAGAGGGGTCAAGTGGGCAGGGCAAATGTAGGAACTTGTGGTTTAACATTGTTGATTGTAAGTGCTTAGCATTTTTGCCAACAAAATTCAAGATTTTTTATGGCACTCTTTTACTCTCTTTTTACACTCTTTTACTCAGTAATAAAGCAAAAACCTAAAATTCAGTCCTTTATGAGTACAAGAAATGTAGAAGTAAATTTATTGTTCATTTTAGCAAATTTTGTTTCAATTTGCGGCAACAACGAAGGTGCTTAACCTTGAAGCTCTCATCGGTTGTTACCTCTGCGAGCGAGGTCGGGGGCTAGGGTTTGGGTTCCTTGGTCTTGCTCCTCAATTTTTGGTCTTTTAGCCAGCTAGCCCTCTGGTAACTTGAAAGAATGAATGTATTTCCGTTGATTATCTGTTTAAATGTTGCGTATTTGCTGGCTCGGTGCCAGTTTTACTAATCATTAACGCCAAAGCATGGCGTTCTTACTAATTATATCGTTCAAGCAGTCTGTTTTATTCATTTCTCGTAGTTTCTGTGCCTGATATTAGAATTATGAGGGTTTTCTCCTCACTTTGTAGATCCATTTAGGAGGTATTTTTGCCAAATCATTGCCGCACTGCTATGAAACATTAATAGGATTTGTGTAAAAACGTATACATGGTTTGTTAATAGGTAGTTGGAGTTCATATGTGTTATTTTTTCTCAAAACTGCCCGGCTTTGGGTTTGTCTTGCGTTTGATGAACACTGACTTTGAAAAACCCGTGTTTTGACTCGTTTTTAATGCATCCGTCACTCTTTTTTTGGTTTTTCTGATCAATTTTAGATTCTTGGAGTCAAGGTATGGATTCAATGCTACAGTCAGCCGTGATTGGAAATCCCTTATCTCCAACTGTTCGTGCACAAGAATGCATTTCGTACATCCATGATGACGATGCTAACCTACATCCCACAGAAAGCCACTTCCAACACCAGATGCGTACATCGGCTTCCAGCGACCCATCATCACATCAACAACGTCTCAGTCTACACGTAGACACTCTTGATGAATTCACTACAGAATCGCATCGTCAAAACGGTTTCTATGAGGGCAATGTTGCCTACGTAAAACCATTCACGCACCATGTCATCTCACCGATTGACAGACCAGTGAAATTCCAAAGTAATCAAGATGAGTTCTTAATTTTTGGGACTTCTCGAAGACTTCGCAGCGAGTTCTACGACGAAGTCTCGAAAAAGGAAGAACTCCGATTGAGGGAGCAGAAAATTGCAGAGCGCGAAGCGCAGTTACAGCAGCGGATGGCGGAAGAGGAGGAGAAAAGACGAATTGAGCCAGTGGAACTAATGGGGAGGATGGGGGAAACTGCTTACATTGACGACGGCGGGGATGAATATGACGAAGAGATAATTGAAGATACTATCACCACTCGAAGAAAGCCTCAAATTCAAGCTGAAATAGCACCACTTAACTACCAGGGTCCTGTACCGACAAAAGTGACCCATTCTGTCGGTGTCGGTGACTCGGATGTGAATCAGTATTTCCTTCTAGACACTGGTTCTCGCTCCGTGAATCCTGCTGATTTTCCACCTATCTATTGGGAAAGACTTAGCCGCTACTTCACTGAGGAGATTAAGCGTAAACGCCCCACTTGTAGGGATGCTTCATCACAGCTCACACCTCCAAAGCAACGTACCGTGTCTCAGGCTGCTTATGTTAAGGAATCTCCCCCTCTACGCAACTTTGGTGTTTGCGTAAAACCAATAGCTTTCACAAGAGGCTGCACCACAGATCCTGCCCATTCGTCAGACAAACGAAACTCCGCTTGTATGACGGACGATTTGGATGAGTACTTTGCACGTCTCCTAAGATCTATCTGTACGGAATATCCGAATGCTGATCGAACCTTCATCAAAAGCCTTTACCGCTACAGTCGTACCGATATTTCTCTCTTTATTCGCCGCCTTGTTGAACGCCTGGAGGAGCTGAGGCAGGCGGAGGCAACGAGAGTGCCGCCGATTGTAGCAGAGGCGCCACCAAAGCCGCAAATGTTTTCTGTCGGACTGGACGTTCGCCCCCTTATGTTGAACAAGCGAACAGCCTCCGAACCTCCGCGCAGAAACCTGGGGACCAACACAGACCTGGTGATTCGCCGCTCCCAGGGCATATCGCACACTCCAACACCAACGGATAAGTCACCAGTGACGTCGGATTTCAGTGGATCTACGGAGTGTTTCTTCAGACGCGTTGACACGGGGAGCCAAGCGACGCTGACCGAACCCCGAGCGTTCTCGCCACCACCTCCAACTTCGCGTTCGTCCACGACCACAGAGACAGCCAGTCGGAGGGTGACGACATACAGGATTAAACGCATCGCTGGTCACGTGGACAAGGAGGGCAAGGTCTCCTCAAAGACCTTTGAAACTAGTGGCGAAGGAAAACCGCCACCAAGCTCACTCATTGATTCTCTTAGTGCAGTCCTGAAGGACTCGAAAAAGGTCGTTTTATTATTAGTCGTGTGGCCCATCGCATTTATGATTTTCTTACCTTATGATAATGAAACTCAGCACTTTTAATTTGAGGACAATACCTTGGTACATTATTTTCGTAAGCTAGCACATTTTAGAAAATTCCGTTTATTAGAAGCCGCCACTGTTCTTGTTTTTCCTATTATCAAGATTTTAACTCGTTGCCAGGAGGTTGATGATATTGCGGCGTTCTTTGTATTTTTCCCTTAAAATCACGCTGTACATCGGGAAATAAAACCTGCTCTAGCAGCAAATATTTAACTGAATTTGATTTTGATTTTAGCCTAAATAGATTGAATAACAATTAGCGCTGTGGTGCAGAGAAGTGCACTCATATACAAGTCGTTTTCCATTTAAAACCAATAAAAGTGAATACTTTCATTTCCTGTGTTTGCTGTCAGAAGATCTAATCAGAGAAATGGTGTCTTTGAAATTTAATTTCATGTATCGGGTATTTGGTTTTTTTTAAAACCGATGGTGCTGATTCGCAAGTTTGCGCTTGTAAATGGAAATAATACAATGATGCGAATTCCTTAAGGTCACCGGATTTCTTGTGTACCTATAGTTTTTGGTAAATACTTTCCTCACATCACTTTTCCTTAAATCGCGTTTGTCCATATTTGTTTCGTTATATCCTCCCAAGGCTCTTTCTTGTTTTGTGTCAAATTCAGCACTCCCTCCTAAGGTGTAAACTTGGTTTTTGCCATTGAAAAATGACGGCGAATATAATACGATGGGGTGTCATGTTTTTTTTTGTGAATTTCAATGGTTTGATGATTTTGTACTCGACCACTTTCCATAGAAAACGCAGTTGTGTATGTTCACTGCTGCCGAAAACTGCGTATGTGCTTTTGTGTGGAGTTTGTATTTGACCTTAAGCGACTTGTAACAGTTACAACGACGATGATTTGAGCCTAGGCCATCTACAGCCAATTTTTTGTGTCATTTAGTTTCAGGAGGAGGTGCCGACTCAACCATCCTTGACATCCGATTCTCAGAAGCGTTATATGTCTGAAAACGTCATGGTTGAGACGTGGTTTGAGAAGGAAGTTCCGAAGCGGTCCATGAGTCCATTTCCACGTGGCTCATCTCCGAAAGCGGCAGTTTCTCCGCTGCTTCCATCGGAGCGTCCCCAACTATCATTCTCTCGAACTGTTGAGGTGGGCCGTTCACCAACCTTCACGCCTCCAGAAGATTTTGATTCAATATCCACTCTACACCATCAGCAGTTCCGTCGGACACCAGTTGCAAGGTGAAATGAGCAGCCTCACCTTTCTCCTTTACCTAGTGGGGTTACGTGTATACTTTAACCCTTTCAGAACAATGAGTCCTGCATCGGGAATCACCGCTGTATATCGAGCCAACTCCCCCAACATTCCTCTTCGAAATTACACGTAACTGTTGCGACTTCAGCATATTTTATTGTTTCTGCATTTGTCAGGTAACTAATCCTTGTTGGGGGTTGGTTTACAGGTACAAGGTCACTGCGGAGATGCGAAAGGCGGTGGAGGCGCTCAGCAGCTTTTACTTGTCCTCTCCTGGGGGTACGCTGACAGATGATATGGTACGATTTGTTAATCACACGTCTTTCAACTAGAAGACGATTAATTTTTAGTGGATACAATATTGCATAAATCTTAAGGTGTAAAAGTTTTTGGATAAATGGAATATTGAATTCTTGCTGTTTGACAAGTTCATCCAATTTCCGATTTTCTTAATCCTCGAATATGGACTTGAATTTATCATATTCCAAAATTATTTCTATTTGAAAATGGAGCATTACTTTACTATTGTCTTTACCGTAGACAAGAGACTGTTTTGGAGTATTTTATAAGTTGAAGTCGTTTAAGTGCTTAAGTTTATATATTAAAGCGTTTTTAAACATTGGCTATGAATTCCAAGCCAAAAAATACCAAAATTCGGCTGTTCACAAATATTGAAGATGAGAGAATCACCGACGTGAGGATTTCCAGGCCAGATATCAGTCTCCCGGAAAAAAGTGGCAATATCTATCATTGTCTAGATCGGTCATCCAATCATACCATTGATATAAAATGGATTTTCTTCCAAAAGTACGAATGTTTGTGCCTTTTCATTCAAGCAAGAATACTTGGACATAGTACGCAAATCCTGGTTCGATATGGTGAGCCAAACGCACATTGATCTCGAACAGATTGAGGATTTGTTCGCCTTCCTCTACAACAGCGCCCCTCAACTCCTTTACTTATTCGTGCGAATGCCTACAACTCGGGTGAGCTACATTTTCATGCTCTCAGTTTGATCAAAGGCCACTAGACTCATGAGACGAGGTTATCCAACTAGATACCGTAGAACGGAATTCAATAGACCCTGCTTATTACGTAGATTGTTAAGGTATAGATTTAAATGGACTTTTGCTGGTAATAACCTCCTTACTTTCCTAAACAACGAGTGATTTTCTGTCTTGCTTGAGGCTAATAATTTCTCGGTGACATAGATCTTGTGAATACTGAAGATTGCAGTCGCTTTTATCTCTTAGTTACCGTTGAATTTTCTAACTGAGTCTGTATTACAGGGTTCCACGTGCCTTCATTACGCTGTGGGCCATGGTGCCTGGCGTGTTGTCTCGCTCATCCTCAATACAGGTTACGCGGATGCTAACAAGAAAAATTCCTTTGGCTTCTCTCCCATCATGATCGCCGCCATTAGCGATGTAAGAATATTAGCTGGAAACTTTAGCTCCCTTTTTTTCCATTATAATCACGTGTCTCATCATGTTCGGATGGCTTAGAGTCATTGAGGATTCCCCTGTCTATTTAATAATGAACTCACGATCTTAACAGACCCATTTAATTATAGGAAATATGCCCTAGCATTTCCAGACCCAATGATCTATGCCATTGGGATGGAATAGCAATCCAGAATCATTCCCCTGTTCACTGAGCTCACTGTCCTTTCATTTCTCATTTTACGACCACCGTATAGCCAATTCCTAGTTTTCAGTTAAGTAAATTGTTCCCATCTTGATTAAATGACATTTTCAGTTATAATGAAGGCGACACTTTGATGAATTAAAAATTACTCTCTTGCAAAGGATAATGAGTTTTTGGATTATCGGTGCCTCTGTTTTGAAGTAGCTGATTTTGGTTACTAAAACCCACAAATACGATGATAATAAGATGTAGGATTGGCAGCCTAATAGCTTTTTTAGTTTGTCCTGAGGGCAGTGAGAGTTACAAAGTTATACACAAATGTCCAAGTGGTTACCTAAGCGTAATGTATAGGGCTTCTATCAAAATCCAAAAATCAGGAGCTTTTAGCGAGTGACAGTAAACTAAACGAAAGCACTTGTTTGCAAACCAGAACTGTGGGAAACGGCGATGTGACCTTCCCCATTTACCTCTTGACAAAGTGCCAAAATTCACTTATCTGCATTTATCTGATTTCGTCCTCACTGCAGTTAGCCAGTCAGGTGAGTCTTAGTGATTCCGTTTGGTCTGCAGTCAACGTTATTACCTTCCTTCTAGTTTAAATATTTTTCTAACCTTTCCTATCTTTTTCTGGTTTGCCCGCTAACACTCAAATGAGGTATATGTGACGCATTGATGCATTCTGTGCTTTTCTGTTCTGTGCATATGACCCTTTAAACCAACTTTTTGGTATAATGTGACTTGAGTGCTATGTTGTTTGATAAACCTCTGTCACCTACGAATTTTTTCGATGAGTGAAAAAGTGGTTTAGGAGAAATTACTATTCGCAAATCGTACTAGCGTTTTGTGTCAAGCCGATTGGCTAATCGTGAAGGGAAGCAGTTCACGACTTGATCAGATCGCTTAAAATTCGGTTAGTAGGCTAAATTGGTGGTTTGAGATCTGCTTCGGTTGTTGCCTATGTGCAGCATTGGAAGGCCTGTTCATAAACGTTATCTCGCTTATAAGCTGGTGCATGTATGCGTTGCATTGGATTCCTTTTTGCCCAAGCATGAATTCCTACTGCATATTTATGCGGGCTGTAGATTTGGCATTTGTTGGAGAACATTTATGCTAATAAAAGTAATTGTTTTTTTGGAGCGAGTGTATGTTTGACTCTTTTGAAAGTGAGCTGCTACTAAAATCAGTTTCTACGACATAACTTTATATCATTTGTATACTTATTTTCATATTTATTTAAATCACAGTGTTACGCGAATCGACCTAACCGTAAATGGTATTAACTCTTTAATTCATGTTCCGATAGTTCTTTTTTTAATATTTTGGACTTGTTTCTTTTCACCTTCTAATTTATTCGCAAACAACTTGCGCCGTATAGCTGCTTCAGAAGGTGACTATTGTTCTTGTATAATCTGCTGAAGACTTTGGCCACCTTAATCTATTGAAGGCAAGATGCTTTCCCTTCAGTACCTATTTTTGTATACTTCAGTGCGAGACAAGCCAGAATATGAGATTTATCGTCGTTCTAGGATTTTTTTCCTGTGTGACCTACAGTCATAGAAGTGAAATATGTGGGAACCAAAAAGTTGGTCGCTAGGCCAATTTGCATCTAACATTTTGGAGCCTTCAAATTAGTTGTCGCATTGATAAGGCAGTGTTAAATCACCGCAATGACTGGAATAGTTTACTTAATGGCGGCACAAATAAACGAAAAATTGTAGCATTAAGAGGACAGGCAAGTGCCTTAATTTCTCACAATTCCTTGACAAGAATCGTAGCATACAGTATAGGCAAAAGTAATGATTATAAAACGTATTTTTTGAATGATATCAAGTAACTAGTATTCTCTTCTGCTGAAGAGGCAATATTCTGTATCGGGCGTCAGATAGTACCAGGAAGCAAATCGCAAATTACACTGAACAACGAGCTGAAATGTTGGGAGAAGAGAGTGAATTCGAGTACATATCACCCACATATTGTTTTTGATCAAAAAGCTGCTCTCGATAATAAGTGTTATAATCTTTCTGCATC